TGGTCAAAATATTTGTGATTCATGATATTATCCTGATAACTGTCAATATTTGCTTAAAACTCTTAAGTGGCGATATAAATTGTATCACTTTACCTTTAATTTTGTTAAAAAATTTGTTTATTCTTATATAAGTGTTGTCTTTTCCTGGTTTTAAAAGCAGCATTACAGTAAAGTGATGTAATTTTCTGAACTTACTAGACATTTTCTTGCTGTTCTATTGTTTGTCTTTACCCATCTGGTCATTAAATCTATATTACTGATGATTATTTATCAAAAATCACATGTCAATATTTTTTGAAAACACTGATAGTCAACCCTACAGTATCGTCGCAATATCAGTATCAAGGTATCTGGTCAAAAATATCATGATATTTATTAGATATGACACACACCTTTTTTAGTGAAAAACAATCTGAAGTAAGATAAATATAAAACATAAGGTCCACCTGCATAAATAAGGGATACATTCATTTAAAATAGATAGCAACATTGCGTGAGTCTGAGAGTTTTTTATCACGATCCGCAATAAAATCGAACATTGTCCCATCCCTGAACAGTAACATATATTGACATGTAAGTTTATAAAAAGCTAGAAATCATAGTTTAGTTTAAGGTAAATAGACCAACAGTGATATAAAGATATAACACTGGGTTAAAACAAGCCATTGTCTTTGGTGGCTCTCTGTAAAGGTAAGTTAACCCTGTATTGCACTGGTGCAACACTGACCCAAATCTGGGTACATTGAGATATTTAGAGTATGTGTTTTTTTCTTGAATTGAATTGACAGTTTACACTCTGCTCCTTCCTCACTGCGTCCAATCGCAGCTCGGCTGGCTGCAGCCTCCACCAGCTGTCTCCTGCACACAGGGGGTCGTCTTGCACGCTGCACCCGGGATGTGCCCCTTGTACCCTGGGTAGCTCTGGTGAGGTGAGGGGAGGGGGTTGGGTCTGTCTGAGGCTGATCTACTGCTGACTCATCTCACACACACACAAACCATACACATACACAGGCAAGCGTCTCCTCTCTCTCCAGCTTTCACTCTTGAGAGGCAGCGGAGGCGGCAGGCTGAGGAGTCGGGGATGGCGGCCAGTGGGTGCCGTCAGGCAGTGGTAATCTGACTGGATTACCAACCAGGTGGAAACATTCAGCCTCTCGACTCCCTCTCCTCCTCCTCCCTCTCTTCCCCTGCTCCATCCATCTATCATTTACATGCTCATATTCTCTTTTCACCCCAATCTTTCTTTCTTTTATAGGGCCTTTAACATAATCAGTACCCTGCACATGCGCACACACACACACACACACACACACACACACACATATCTGCACTACAGACCTGTATGTCTCTAATTGTACAATCATGTACACACACTGAAACTCCCAAGCCCACAGACACACACACACACACACACACACACACACAATCTTCTCTCTCTACGTCATACAAATTGTTCGTGTGTGAAGGTGTGTGCAGGTAGGAGGGTGAAGAGGCGTGTCTCATCTGTGCTGCCACGGCGATCAAAGCCAAAGCCGAGAAACTTCCAAGAGAGGAGAGACATTACTGACAGCATCATGATGAATGGACAGGGCGACACACACATGCAGCTACACACACATTTATAGCAAAGAATCGCAGGATTTAGCTGCAGGATCTTCACTAACAAGACTGAATGGGAAGAATGAAGAGGAAGGGGAGAGAGAAGAAGAAGAAAAAGGTCAAAGAGGAAAGATTGGGAGAAATGAAAGAGAGGAGCAGCTCAGAGGTTATCTAGTCCAACCAAAACATTCTGATTATGGTTTATTACTTTTTCAAAGCACAACACACAAGCAGCTTAAGACAGAAACCCTTTAAGGACTGTGTGTATGTGTGTGTGTGTACAGCTGTGCGCACACATGTAACATGAATGGAGGCTCTTTCTGTCTGTATTACTAGGTCACACACACACACACACATGCACACACACACACATACACAGCCATGTAAACAAAAACCTTCTGCTGTCTGGGAAGTAACACACCTGTTCAATGACAAGCTTTGCCACGCCCTCCATAATACTGCACACCTGTGCTACTGCAGGCTAAACCTAACCTTAATCACACACACATACACACACACACACTTGCACAACTACTGCCCAGAGGCTAACATCACAGAAAAAGGGGAAGAAAGAGAGGGAGGCTGGAATAAAAGCAAAGCAGCGAAACAGGGAGGGGAAAGAGAGACAAAGGCTTTCCCACTGCTCCTATCAGTAATCTAAACGCCTGTGTAATATCATTGTGGGGTTTTATCAAATGGGGGCTGAATCTTATGGCGTTGGTATGCGGCTGTCATTCCATCACCTTGTCAAGCGCGACCATATTCAAGCAGACACCATGCTGATCTAAATAAGAGACTTCAGCAAATTGATGGATTGCAGGTTTTCCGGGATATGAAGAAACAGGGGGGAATGAGAGGTTTTCTTTTTTTACTTTGAATTACTGTAAGTGATACACCCAGTTTGGTCTTGTGAGAAGGTAAAAAAATGTGAGTGTGTGTCTGTTTCCAAAGATCTGAAACAAACCCCCCGTCGAAACCCCCCTCCTGCCCTGGTATGGCCAACCCCACATCATATCTACCCCCTGTGCCGAGGCCTAGGGCCAGGCATACAGCTTTCTGAATCTCTAAGGGGGGCAAGCACAAAGGTAACCCCCATCCTAACCTCCCAGCAAACACACACACACACACACACACGTACCCCAACCCCCATCCCAAAACAACAATCCTCTATGCCCATCATGTCAGTCAAAACCCCATCAGGGACATGCATGGAGAGTCTGGATATCTGGAATCTCAATACAGTGTCATGCACCTTGAGACCCAGTGAGAGGCCCTCTTGAATATATTTCAATAGCATTATCACCCTGCATTACTACGCTTCACCCCCCCTTCCTTTCAACATTACAGAATCATCTTTAAATTATATGTCAGCGGGTAGAAATATCCGTCAAAGTGGAAGTATAATCTGTTTAAATCGTTATGCAAGTTGGATGTGTGTTGTTAAAACAATCCCAACCATTACTTAGGGGTTTATAAATGGCATATTTTATGGTAAAATCATTTCAGTCAAATTTAAAGGAGACATGCAGCTGAATGTCTCGTGAAATATATTAAATATTCTATTAATATAAATCAGTTAGATTGAGTTATTGTGTTATATATTTAAATATACTATAGAGCTGTAATTATGTAAATTATTTAATATGTGTTGCACCATAATATGTGCATGCACTGCAGAAAAATGCATACTGTAATATATTTTGTACACATTACATTTACAATACACATTTATTAGACACATACATGTTGAATTTTCTTGCATTTTTAGAATATATTCTTAAAAATCCTAAATTATAAAAAATTATAAATATAAATCTTGCACTATTACACCAACATATCTTGTAAATTTAGTATAGGAAATAAAATATGTACTATAAACTACAATTATAGTAAAAATGGCACTTGCCCTCAAGTTTAGAGTCATGAGGACATCTTTTAAGATAAATACATTTTTAATCTGGCTTTCTTTACGTGAAGCACCAGAACCAGGACCTCAAGCACACAAAATATCAAACCAGTTCAGTTTATATTTCTGCAAAAAATGCGCCAAGCTCAACGTGTTTGACCGGAAATGTGGAAAATATGTGTTTTATTTTAAGAAATTAAGAGTTAAAATTCCGCACTGGACGTCTGCAGTCGTTTTTTTTGCTGTTGTGTAAAACTAATGAATATGCAAATGAGGGGAGACAGAGGATGTGTGGATCCTACACACGACAGACGATATCATTCATAGGCCCGAGTCTCAACGTCTATTTAAAGAAGCCCCTGCATTTGCAAATGATAATTAATGAGATTTCTCATCGGGCACGTTTACATTCATCCGGTTAGTCCAGTTTATAGACACTGTATGATTTCGAGCAGGGGCTTCCTTTCTTTCTTCTCTCTCTCTCTCTCTCTCTCTCTCTCTCTCTCTCTCTCCACACACACACACACACACACACACACACATACACACACACACACACACATATACCCCCCACCCCCCTCCCCTATTGAGACAGGATACCAAAGCTACTTGTTAAATCTAATGCATGCACTGTCAACCCATTCGCACCCCGTCACGTCCCCGCTCAATATAGAAACCGGATTTTCTGGTATTACCCGCACCTCTATTAGCCAGAGCTCCCCTCGCCCTCCCCCAGCCACCGCGACCCCCAGTTTGTGACCAGTACACACCAGCATGCGCCCCCCGAACCCAGCAGCACCAAACCCAACCGTGCTCCTGGATCCACATGTGCAGGAGGAGACGTTGCACAGAAAACTGCAGTCAGCTAATAGCTTTAATTTATTGTTTAATGGGAAATATAAGCAGTGGAATTACCCAATTCTAATTAATTACATCAAATGGCAATGATTAGTACTTTACTAATTGATGAAACCATATAAATCTATGACAAGATTATGCTACTGGAAACGCCTAATAATCCCTGTGTGATAAAGACGAATAATCCTGGAATATTTCTAAAAATTCACGAGAGGTTTAAAGAAAAAAAACACAAAAGGGAGGTGTGTCGTAAATTTAAAGTTAATCTAATTTGCCAAGTTTCCTTGAGGAGGGAAATGTCCCTCAGTGTTACATATTTGGCTTTTACGCGCAACACTAAACTGATCAATTATATTTATTTTTATCTATAACACACAGAAAGCAGCTTTGTAATAAACAGCTCATTAAATAGAGTCAAACATAAAAGTCTTTAAGATGCCAGCGCTTTTTTGCTAATTTCGAAATGCCCACAAAGTCTGAGCAATTTCCTTCCACAATAAATTCTAGCTCGTCCCAAAGAGCTTCCCAAGTTTATAATATGGAGAACATATGCTTGAGACAAAAGAGAGCAAGTGAATTTTTTTAAACCCACACTTGGTCTTTTATGCACACGAAAAGAGCTGCATTCAAAACTGACCTGAGTGCGGACCCACGGAGAGGTGAGACGAATAGTATTTTCCAGGCTGGAAGTGAGCGGGGTGCTGCACGGAGCCGTGGCCGCCTGGCGCCATCCGAGACGCGGCGCTGTGAACCAACGCGCTCCGCTCCGTCAGGAGGTGGTGCGGAGGAGCGAAATCTCGGCTTTCCATCCCGGGTGAGACGCGATAAATCCCAAATCCGAAGTAAAAAATCCGGAGGCACCGAAGGTCTCAGGCACCCAGATGCAAATAATCCCTTTTATGAACTTCGGGCTCCCCTCGCATTGAGCGGAGTTTGGGCTTTGCAGGGAAGAAACTGAGTCCCCGTCATGTCCTACAAAAGAGAGAGCAGGAGACACGTCAAAGCGCTGACAATAATGAGCCAACCAGGGATGTAGTGCTGAAGAAAAGGCTGAGCTGAGAGACAGTCGCTGTTCATGTTTAGACAAACAACCAGCATTTACAAAAGCAATTCAAATTTCACAAAAACCTTTTAAAAGACCACATTTACATAGCACTCTCACTCGTTTGGTGCTGTCCTCCGCGTTGCATTTAACCACGATTTATGCCAGAACCGGGAAGGTGAGTAAAGTCTGTTCTGCAGATAAAAAGGTGGCTGAACTGAGTTTATGTGGATTTACCCTGCACCTCATCGCTGGCCCCAACAGAGAAGTCTTTGCCCCCCTCTTCCTCCTCCTCATCCTGTGACCAAACACGATGCAAATAACGCACACGGGAGCTTTCTTTATCAGCGAAAAGAATGGAAAGGAAAGGGGGAGGTTTGGCTCAGGTACAAACAAATGGTGCATATACAGTACAAGAGTTCACAGCGGTAAAAGCCTCTCTCGGTGAAGGACGAGTTGTTAAGTATTTAGACTGAACAAGGACTGGTCATAAACAAGCTGGACCTCGGGGGCTCCTGCACTAAAATATGAAGAAAACCATTTGCACAATAACTTCTGAGCGAGGACGCACAAAACCCCTAAAACACAGCGACTAATATCTGTCTTCACAGTGCCAAAAAACAAAAAGATACGCACACGTTTGTGCTTTGATTAATGGTTGTTGTTTATGTAAATGAAGTTTGATTTCTTTCCTCACTCAGATAAAATCTGATCCACTGTACACGCGCTTAACATGTGGTTGTGACACTTTAGAGGACAGGATATTCTATGTATTTTTTTAAAAATGCAATAAAATATGGGATTGATATAGGATCCAGGAATCAATGGTGTTTGATGTGTAGCTTTTAGCAATTACATCTGACTTTACTGATCGCCTTTTTACGCATTAACCAAACTTGTTTCACCCTTTATGTTTGGCTTTTTATAGTTGGCACCGGATTCATATGTGTGGTGTTGCTTATTAATAAAAACGTTGATGAAACAGCTATTTCTGTCAACTTCTATGGGGTCAGCAGCAGTGGCCCCTCGCCTTCTGGCAATGGCAAACACCATGCTTCTCTGCTGCGCACATATACAGTATGTATAGGCTACACTGTAATCACAAACACAAATCAAATCACCTTTATGCTCCAGCGCGAAAGAGCGGGGCAATAAACAGTGAAATAGACTAGGAAATCATCGACTTTATATGTATGCCTTATAGCCTAGGTCATTTACTTAAATAGGGCTCCATGTGACGCTCAGATAGGGAGAGCTGGGCGCCTGCGTTCACCAAACACACCTCAGCAGTCCATCTATTAGGCCTCTCAATGCATGGCACGTCCATCTAGCGCTCTGTAGATGCTGATAGCACCTCCCAGGAATCAACGATAAAGGAACAAAGAAAATATCAAATGCTCTTGTGGACCAGGGGCTTATGAAGTGCATAGGAATATATACGCTCGGATATTCAAGTCTCCTTTACGCACACACACGCGCACGCTGCTCAAGGACTCCCAACTTTCAGGAATTGTGTTTGTAAGGGGGGGAGGAAAAATCTAAGTTCAGCAGCTCTGACAGAGTGAATGTCCAAAGACTCCCAAGCATAAAATATCCAATGCATGCAAATTTCTAAATACTCCCCATAAGAGTATTTGCCCTATACTGCAGGTATATTTAAATAATTTAATTTCCCCTTTTGTTTGTGGGCACCACGTTATCGTTTCTGACCACATCTAGTCGACACAAGAGGAGAAATGAGGGTAGAAAAAGGAGAGAAACGCAGGCTACTGCAAGCGCACTGGGAAAGGCAAAATGGACTCTCTCCTGTCCCCTAGGCTGTGAGAAACAATGGCCCTTCTCTACGGGACATCAATCATAAACCACTCTCGGCTGACATTTGTCTATACATTTTTAAATTTTCAGGCCGTAAACACACGTCCTCGGTGTTTACATTCCACGTCAACAGAGAGCCACTCAGGCTACATTTAACAACCCTGAATCTAAATCCCGTGTTATCGCTCGCCACGCAAACAGAGCGACGTGAGCAGATCGCGCGTAACAGTTTGAGGGAAAATGATCATTTGGATCTACTGTAGTGTGTGTGTGTGTGTGTGTGTGTGTGTGTGTGTGTGTGTGTGTGTGAGTGTGTGTGTGTGTATCTACGTGGAAGGCGTTCAGACTTCCTTCCACTTCACCCAGACTCCCCAAAAGCCCATACACACCTCCCCAAGCGCACACACACACATACACACGCATTGCCCTGCAAAGGGTCAAACTATCGTCAGACCAAAATCCCCCCCTACAAAAGTACCCAATACTGGCCAAAACGACATGACATGCACTCAGCACAAAAGCCAGCAAATCCGCAAAGAATTCTGTTTTTCAGATTTCGTGCAACCCACGTTTCAAACACCCCAAAAATACGACGTTTTGTGCCATTTCAAAAGAAATCTATTAAATTATAAACGCGTGGACCTTTGGACAAAAGATAAAAAGGAATTAAAAGACATTCAGTTTCGAAGTTGATCGGGGTTCAGAGGCCAACTGGTTGCCTTCAACAATTTTGCAATAAAGTAAAGTCACAAAGCATAACCAAGACACTAAATCCAGATATTCAGAGGCCGGCTAAACAGGAGCGACAAGCCCGACCGAGCCGAAGACAGCCCGGCGTCTGCACAGCCTTCATACCGAGGAAGAGGGGAGGGAGGGGGGATGCAGGGAGCACTGCAGTTTGCAATAAACTGCTCAGTCTCCCTCCCTCTCAAACACACACACACATACACACACACAATAGCAAACTAACAAAGAATAATCTACAATTTAGAATCTATAAAACTACAGGCGTGAGGAGGCGCGCTGAAAAGCGGGTGCTTGTGAATAGTCCTTTGAATGAACCAGAAACACACAAGTAATTTGGCTGTGAAGAGAGGTCAAATCAAAAAGTGACACACATTATCGCCCACAGCTCCAGACTGGACAGGAGAGCACACAGTGGGAATGAGCTCTGTGGAAAATACATCCTTCAAAATGCAGTCAAATTGTGAGAAATGCTGCTTTGATGCAATATTATAATTAGTGAATGAGGGGTGTGTTTAGATTCTGTGAGATAAAGAGATATCAGCTTGTATTTTACTGTTTACTTGTCTAAAGGTATGGCAGGGAGTGTTTTTGAAGAATAGAGCTCCATTTAAATAAAACGGTAAATTTAGATAAGCCTCTCTTGCATGCAGCACTTGAACTAAAATTTACATTCAGCACAACCGCTAAAAGATTTCTAAAAACACGTCTGTAAAATAATTTCCTACTTACTGGTAAGTTATATCCATAGCGCGGTGAGTCGGTTATAATGAAAGAAAAAGTACAAAAATATTCAAAGTGAAAATCCCCGAGTCGCAGAGATGAAACATGTGGGATTGATTACATCCTATGCTGCTGCAGACTGTGGTGTGCAGTCAGTTGAGGTATGGGAGAGACGCATCGTAGAAGTTCAGGCTTGTAGTGAATCGAGGCTCGTTCATGCAGCCGGAGACTCAGACACGCCGGGAGGAGGAGGAGGAGGAGGAGGAGAAGGAGGATGGAGGGGTGTGTGTGTGTGCGGGGAGGGGTGAACGCGCAGGCCTATTGGTTTGAGAACGACAATGTGAAAGCGTGCCCGTGAGGCGCCCCTCCACCCGCGCCCCCGCCCCACCCTACCCTTTTCCTACACACACCCCCACCTCCTCCTACCCCCCCCAGTCGACGGTAAACACACGCCGCGATTGGCTGCCGCTCCGAGCCAATGAGGAAGCCGCCGGAGCCGCGGAGCGAAACGGCGGGCGTTTGATTTGCAGCCCTCGGCGCACTGCGTGCACAAGCAAATGCGAGGAGACAGGCGGCACAGCTCGGCGCTGTTCAGTGCGCGGAGAGGAGAGGAACTGGAGCCGTGCAGCGCTGCCTGCACTTTCTGATCACTGGTGGAGAGCAAACAGCATCTAGCCTATTCCGTGTGATCCCGCTGCAGTTCAGTTCAAATGCTGCATGTGTTCCGAGTGCATCGTTATTTTGCTGTGTGACAGCGATGATGTGATAGTTTTATTGATGCTCCTTTAGGGAAATCCACCCCCCCTCGCCCCACTGCATGTGTTTTGCTAAATAAATCCTTATTTGCAGAATCTGTATCTGATTTATTGAACATGCAGGCTCGCAGTGCAAGACATTTTACGCACAGCCACATTAAGATAAGAGAAGTTTAGGACCTCTAATTGATAGGCGTAACGTTAAGTGTAAGTTTGATGCTGAAAATGTGTCCACTGGGAGAACATCCATAAAGGATTTTTGTCATATTTAATTCTCTGCTTCCTCTCAGAACATAAAGATTTTTTTCCAGCTCGCTCAATCCATCAATGTGCCATATATATAAGGGAACATGGACATGGATGCAGACAGGCTTTTGGGGAGAAAGGGTTAATAAAGTTGCTTTATTTTCATCTTTTTTTATAGCTGTATGTCTGTTTACCTGTCTCTGTCAAACACGCACACACACACACACACACACACAAGCGGGCAAATTGAATCACTGCGTAATTTGAAAGCATTACTGTCCCCGGGGTTAGCCTTGCGCACGGTTCACTAATTTAGCCAATTAAAAGTGGAAGGATATGGGCTTGTGTGTTTCCATGTCGAAATATATGAGCTGCTATAGGCTAATATTCCCTTCCAGGTTTGTTTATACGTGGAGGCAAAGGGTTAAAACTCGGGGCTTCGGCGCTCCAAGGCTCCTGATTGGCTGGCACGCCGCCAGAACTC